GTTTCTTTTGTAAATGTATACAATGTAATCTAAACATTATGACAATTGATATTCTTATCAATTCTATTTTTAAAAACTTATTTACCCTGAAGAAATTTGATTTTTCTTTTTCTTCTTGACCTTCAATTTTCATTCCACTTCCTCCAAAAATTTTACCTCAATGTAATATAATTATTGTTCGAAAAGACTTTATCACATTTATCTGAGTCTAAATTAAAATTTTTAACTTTTACTTTGTGTTACCGTAGGCTCTAAGCATTAAACAAATCCGTTCTTAAATTATCATTATTAGCAATATACTAATTAAAATAACATGAATACATTATACTAATTATTAAATGTAAAAAGTGAAATTATATTGCAAATGAATCTCTTAATTAGATGAACATTTTTCAGTTAGTTCATATATCTGTAGATGAATATTATTTATTGCTAGAATGAGACAGAGATTGGCATCAATTCTATTTTTTGTTTTTATAGATGTAAGCTGTAGGAATTGAAAGTGTTTATTTGAACTTCTGTGTTGCATGTCAAAATTCATATAATGCTCTCTTATCAAAAAATATTTTTAATCTTCTGTCACTTGACAACTGATTAGGTCCTTCTTCATTTTTCTTATGGACAGTGAATTGGAAGACACCTGACTTGCAAAGAAATTTGTTCTCGTTCTTAGAATAATTCACTTTCTCAATTTCTGGGAAGTATACCAAAAGAGCTCTACTAAGATTTATCAAATTATTGTTAATTATGCTGTAACACTTTCACTTAGACCTACCTTTTGAAATCGCATATCTTCAAAAATGATAGGAAAAACAGATATATTATTAATTGCATTACTCTTTTGCCAAAATAATGCTTTTTGAGAAAATACTTTGAACTTATTTCTTGCTTTAAATATATTACCGTTACTTTGAAGCTGCAGATTTAACACATTTATGGAAAATATCTATCACAAATCTGATTGGCAGAAAAAAATTTTTGACTTCATTTTTCAATTCGAATAGCTATTTTGAGGATTATTACAAAAATCAATGAGCGTTGAAAGCACATCTTATGAAATTGATCACTAAAAACAACCAAAATTAAAATAATATAGATCTAATATAATTCATTATTCCATGTTTAAGTTAAAAAACCAAGATGATCAATACACTCTCATATAAACAAGAATGATAGAAGGCATGGTAAACATCTGGTAAAACTGGGTGAGGCTACCGAATGGTGCTGACTGGCTTTGTAGAATAAATAAGAACTAACGTAAAAATAAAAAATGCCACTAATAATACAAAGGTTCTAGGCTGTTAAAGTCTGGCAGCATGTATTTTCTTTTATTATGAAAAGAATCTTAAACGTTTTGTAAGATATATCATGATGAAAATTGACTGTAATTGAAACAAATATTTCATGCTATGGTTTGATACAACAGGTTTTGACAACTTTGTTAACTAACGCACATCAAATCTGAAAGAACCCGCATGAAAGCTTATCCTTGAGTTTTATTTATCTTCTAAAAAGTTGGTATTCCTCACAGGCACTCCAATTACATTTAAAATAATTAGCATTGCAAACTAATATTGCTTTAGCTTTTCTATGTAACTCTTCTCACCAGTTAAGCTCTATCCTAGAGATGAGTAGGGAGTATAGTAGAAAATAATTGCTTACAATTACATGAAGAAGCTATTTTTGGTATTTAATGTTTCCTACTGATTTCTCTGTGCTTCACTTTCTCAGGACTCTCCCTCAAGACCACCGCATTTTTGACAAGAGTCAGGAGATAGAAGAGGAAAAGCCATTAAAGAAAAATTGTCATTATTTCCATCACTCCACCATATATCTGAATTCTGAAAATCCATGAGTCCAAACACTTCATTTCTGTGTGTTCTAACATGTCACTTTTAATGTGTATGTGAAAAGGGAAAGCCCAAAGTTTTATGGATTTATGACACATCATTAAAGGAACCTCTCTGTTTGCTATATCTAGGATTTTTGTGTCATATTAAGGGAAAGGACTATTATGAACACACTTGCTTCCAGTCAATCAATTTTAGGAAAGAGTACAGTATGTATAGAGGATCTGGAAAGACTTTGCATACCCCGAAGTATGTATACCCTTTTGAAAATCATGAGTTTGTCAGACCCCAGTGTAGCCTAACTTGACCCAGTCCAGGATTTTTTTTACCATGGGAATCTCTGTCCCTGAGGGAATGTAACTGGAGAGTTTAAGAGGGCCCAGGAGTGCAGATGGAACTGCAGCAGCCCGTTTTGGAAACAGTAATGAAGAGCCTGTTTCAAGTCTGATGTTGTTAGACCTGCCTGCATGTGCTCCATGCTATCAAACAAAAAGATCTTAGAAGCTCCTCTGGCCCTTTGTTGGTGAATAAGCACATCATTAGCCCCTGAAATCAGAGGACTAGTGTTGCAAACTCACATGCCAACAGAGGAATGCAAGTGATACAAATGAATGGAGTAAAAAAAGTAGGAGGTGTGAGGACTGGATCTTGGAGGGGCCATGCCTCACCAAAGGTGGAGGATGCTACTCAGCTCTAACCCCACTAGATTTGCCATTTTTCCAAGGAAGCCAAAACTCTGAATTTTCATGTGAAATCTTTCAATTCGTAAATGTTGGCAATTAAATCAACATTTTTATAAAACACACAGCAGGCAAATCAAGTCTACAGGTCATATGTGGCCCATGATTGTCGGTTAGCAATCTGCTCAAACACAACATGGGAATTTCTCTTCCTCCAGAGAGAAAATTAAGCTATCTTTAATCAAAGTTTGGGTCTCCAGCTCTGTCCGACTCCAGCTAGAGTTCTACTTTCTTAGCTTTGTCTCAGCAGTTATTAACCCTTCCTAAGTCCATAGCTGATCCTAGCACATGGGTCCTGCAAGTTTAAAGTGAAGTGCAGGGTCAATCATCTGTTATTTCAAGCTTCATGGAGGCCAAGGGAGTTGTCATCAGCAAACCCAAGTCCAATGAGTTGGACAGAACTTTAGACATCATTTATCCCACTTTTCTATTTTTAAAGCTCCTAATAACATTCTCTAAATATTCCTTTTGGGACTAATTGCACTTGTATTAGTAAATGAAGGCTATGCAATCCCAATAGTACAGTGTCTGGATGCTCTCCTCACATGCCTCCAGTCTCTGGAGCTCTGAGGACTGTAAAAACTTCAGTGAAAGAAGTAGCTATCATTCTCATTTCAGCCCTTCTCAATTCCAGCCTCAGGCCACCAACTATCCTGAGCACTTTAGTTCAGATGGTATGCTGATTTTAAAATGTGTCCAGAAATTCTTTGATACTCTTCCCTTCAGGAGGTTGAGCTTAATCTCCTCCCTGTGAGTGTAGGCTATACTTACTGACTTGCTTCTAATGAACAGAATATGATGTATGACAGCGACTTCTGAGAACAGGTCACAGGCAGTGTGGCTTGTTCCCAGCTTTCTCTTGAATTACTTGCTGAGAGAAGCCAGAGGTCATGAAGACACTTAAGTAGCCTTATGGAGAGGCCCGTAAGCAGAGGAACCAAGTTCTCCTGCCAAAAGCCATTTGATTGAGCCATATTGAGAGATTCTCCAGCTCTGATCAAGCTTTTAGGTGACTGCAGCCTGCTGATATCTTAACTGCAAACTCAGGAGAGATCCTGAGCCACAGCCACCAGCTAAACTTCTCCTGAATTCCTGACCAACAGAATCTGAGAAATAAATAAAGATTGCTGTTTCAAGATGCAGTATGGTTGTAATGTTTCATGTGGCAATAAAAACCAATTAGATGGGCATAAAGCAACCCAGACCATACCACCTCCCACTCCTCCCACCTGGCCTCATCACCTTTCTCTATTCTGTTTAGCAAGGGCAAAAGGCTAGATGTATCTCCTCACAGTTGCGATAACAAAGATGATGGGAGCCTGTTGGCCAAGGAAAAGTGACTATTTCTAAGATGAAAGGTAATTATTAAGACCTTCTCTAACATCCGGAAATACTAATCATGGGGTGGGATTACCAAAAGAGGTAGTGGTGGCTCCATTTTAAGAATTTCTTTCAGATTGAACAAATTCTGGTAGGCAGTTGGGATTTAGTTCTGCCCTGGGCTACTTTCTCTTAATTAGGTTAAAAGTTGAGGGTAAATAGGAAACTTCACCAAAATCTAAGATGTGCATCAATTTCAAAAAATAACTCCCCAATTTAGAAGTCCTTTCTGATACACACATACACGGCTCAAGACCCAAGCTTTCGCAGAAGGCGTCCGATCCCCACTCTCCAGAGGCTGAGTTCCCACTTTGGGGCCATGCACGTATTTGCTCCTCTCCCTTCTCTCACCGGCTCTTATCTCAGGGTCTGTTCCTTAGCCTCTGCTCAGGTGAAACTCAAATATCTGAACCCAACCAGCCTATTCAGCAACTCGTGTGTAATTCCAGTTGAAGTTGCACTCTCATGATAGACGGGAAGAGAGCAGCAGGCATTTCTCATGCACCGAGAGAGCAGGATCCTCCCGACTGCAGGGTTTCAGGGTCACATGAGAGCTCCAGAAGGTTCTAGCGATGCCATCTCATCATCTGCTAGATTTTAGGTAGATGAGCACATATAAATTAATGACTTAAAACCCTATTTCAAAATTTTATCATCTTACAAGCATAAGCCTTTTGTTTGAACATGTATCTTTTGGCAAGGATAAAGAACACCACAGAGTGGGTCTTAATGGTAAAGAGTAAGAAAGAATAAGTTTTGAGGTGTGTGGGAAAATGTGTAGAAATAAGAGTTTTAGTTTAATTCTTCTTTGTATCCAGAAGCGGCTCTGCAAATACCATCCTAATGAACCACTGCCTAGCCCCTAATCTCATAAAACCCTCATAAGGGAAAATGCATGAAAGGCAGAGCTGATTCTATCCTTTTTGATATTTGCCCTTGAGTCTACTTTTGGGGCTCTGAGAACACATGAATTAACATGAACCAGTGAAAGCATTCCAAAGTAGGCCTTTCCAATGACAAGCTAAGCCGGTTACCTTACAGCTTGTATATTTATTGAACAAATACTACTAAAATAGCTAAAATACATTGGGTACTTGTCATGAGTGCATCAGTAAAGATCACATTGTTACAAAAGCCTGCATTTTCAGCAGTACACAACTGCAACTCTACATAAATGCCACAGATGCAGAATACTGTTTTCTTGCTCTATTTACACAGCTGATATACCTATTCTAACAAAGGAGGGAGAGGAGAAATGCACGAGAAACTCAGGCCAATGGGGGAGCGAGAAGAGAACGAAGAAGTGCAGCGCATGCGTCATCGATGTTTAACAGTCAGAAGCAGAACAGTTCAGAACAGAGCCTGCCCTGTCAAAGGAAGAGCTAAAAGACAGTTATATAAAAATTAAGGTGGGCTTTCAGACTGGCTAACACAACAACATTCCATGAGTAGATGGTATTTCTGATTTGTTTATTTATCCATTCCATTGGGAGCAAGGACAAAAATGTAAGATCTACGCCTTGCGTATTGAAACTGCCGAAAACGTGTGCTCTGCCTATTTTTTTTTTTTTTTTTAATTTTGTAAAGACATTTTTTTCCAACCTAATTTTTGGGAAGGGTGTCATTTTCATATTCCTACTCAGATGCCAGTTTTTTGGATTTTTTTTCCAGAGGGCATTTATTAAAAAAGAGTTTGCCCTTTTCCCCCCCAGTCTTCCAAACAAAAAGAACCAAGAGAGACACCTAAAAACGCCTGTCAAATTATTGCTTTTCTTTCTCTAAGTTAGGCAGGCGAGACTACTGAAAGGAAAAGATTTGGTAAGTAAATTACAGTTTTGTGATTGCTCCCGCTCCAGTGCCTGCGTGTCCGTGAGTGCCAGCCAATGAGACGTGAGTCTCTTACACTCTCGCTGGTAGCATTCTCTCAACCTACAATGCTGAAGAAGAAAGCCACACTGAAGACACAAGGAAAACAAGTCAATCCAGTCTAGAGAACAACATTCAGGGAAACAGAGTACCAACACCTTCTTAGAACATGGAAATAAAAAATAACTCCATCAGAGCTACCTCGCCAAGGAGCATGTTGAAAGTCCAAAATAGCACCATTCATCAGTGTCTCAGGTCCTGTGGCAGCATCTCGGTCACTTACCACAAGGAAACAATGAGTTTCAAACTACTTCTATACATCAAAAGAGTACATGGATAAAATATAGAGATATACAGACAATTGATGAACATAAACTACTAGGTTTGTTACATCTAAATGAAAAAAAAAAAATGGGGACTCTCAGCCTCTGCAAGAAGCAGTCGGGAGCTGTGTGAGTGACAAGGCAGGAGTGGACCGGTTGTGTGAGAGCAGTGGGAGTTTGAGTTGTGGAAGACATCGTCGTAGAGAACCAGGCCTGAAGGCCCACCTGTAAGGGTTGTAAACGTGGATTCACAGTGTGAAATTCTGAGCGTTTTCACTTGAGTCAGAATGATTAAAAACTGGTTTGATGATACCTATTTGTCCACTGTAAATTCTCTAAAGCAAGGCTCAGAGTCCCATAGTTTCTTCTTATACTTGATGATTTACACAGAAAAAAATCCCATATATGATACCATGACCTCATCAATACCCATACACCATATGTAATACAAATGGAGGTGTTATGATTAAAAAGAGTAGAGGTAACTAATTCTTGGGGAGTGGAGTTCGTTGCTGCCAAGTGGAGTCAGGGAGGCAGCCTCAGCGTCATCATTCTTCTTGCGGTTCACTTCCTTTGGGACAGGAAGTCTTCCCTGAAAAGCAGGTGGGCCGAGACACAAACAGACACACACAAAAGAGAGACACAGTTATGCTTCTGAAACCGTTTGAAAATTTTTGCCTCTCCCTCCCGCCTTTTATCCTTGAACTCTCGATGTTTTGCAAACAGAGTTTACATATTAAACACAGTTCACCTGAATGTAAATATTAGGTCTGTGGGGGCATGAAGTAATTAAACACTAGCTGCCTTGGCTTCAGTAGAATCAAGTGCGTTTCTAATGGCTGTACCCAGCCATGTAAGAGGCAGCATTCTCCAAGAGTCAGGTTTCTGAGGACAGTTTTTAGTATCAGATAGTGCCTGGCATTAGGCTGGCTGAGAGGTGCTCGTAGGAGTATTAATACATTTTTTAAAAAGGGTTCAATAGCTATAGTGGATTAGGGTCATTATTTTCTAATATATAATAAAAATACTTAAGAGCATATCGCAACTTGCACAAAGGTAATTTATGTGTGGTTTATTCTATAAGCACTGGCACAGTACATGCGGGCCTCACGGTAGAACCAGAAGTGGAGATCAGAGGTGGAAGAGTGTTTGCGAAGGAAATAGTGTGGGGCTGCTGGGTGGAGTTGCAGGACAGAGGACGGCAGTGTGAACTCAGGCCAGAAGAGAGATTCAGCTACTTTGGATTGACTGGGGTTTATCCTAAGTCTGTCCTCACAAACCTGATGAGTGAGGTTCCTGTATTTCTGACTAGAATAACCCAACCTCGGAGTGACAGGCGATCTGTCCAAAACCCTTGGGGAGAAGCTCACCATTGCAAACAAACAGCAAGAGGACAGGACAATGAAGCCCATTTGCCAAGGGATGATATCAGACAGAAGACTTACTTCACCATGAATAAAACTGTACGTCCCCATCAGATATGAAAATATTGATTTGTCAAGTTTCTCTTTTAGACAAATTATTAATAACTGCAGTTTTCTTGAAAAAAAAAATTCCTATTGTGGTTTTAAAAGATCTTTTTTTTCTTTCTGCTGAGGCCACATGCTCTAACAGGACATTTTTAATAAGCTAATTTGACTGGATATAAATACTTGGATTAAAGTGATAACCTTGCATTGTGATATGTAAACGATCACATCTGAATTTTTTTTTTAATTCAGAAATCAAGAACTTCTGAACAACTTGAACTGAATGTTTTCAGCAGCCTTAGGGTGAACTAAATGCAACAGATAATCCAAGTCTAAGAAGTATTATTTACTGTATAGAGTTTTCATATTAAACATCTTATATGCCTAAATTTTGTGTTTAAAAACCTCAGACTTTGAGAGCATACAACATTTGTAGGGTGTATATAAAATCCACTCAGTATGTATACTTTAATGTCTTAGATTGTGATTTAGAGGTTGTTTTGATACCATTAAATACCAATAGGACCAAACCAGAAAATTAAAATATAATTCATTACTCTCACACACTTAAGGATCTAAATAAATTTCCAAAAGCATTATTTTTGGCAGTTCCTTTTAGTTGTAAAATAATTTCAATCTTGAATTTTGGCATGCAATTTCAAGATTAAAAAAAAGAAAGAAATTCACTGTAATCCTGGTACCTTTAAAATAATGTTTGTTTCTCCTCCCCCAACAACCAGTTAGTATGGTTCAAAATATGACAAACTCGGGTTCTGGACAAGTGAAGAGTTCAATGGCTGCTAATTGTCACAGGCCAGGAAGGAAAATCAAAAGTCATAAACATTATTTCACTCAACAACTACACTTTGTACATGGTTGTGCTTAAAATTGCTAATTTCAGTTCAGACTTATTCTGTTCAAAAGTGAATATATAGAACATCAGTCTGTCTCTTTATTGATCTCATTCTTACTAATATTTTACCTCCACAGAAAATACACAACAAAATGAAATGAAGAGCTTTCGAACCAACAATTTTGAACCATACTAACTGGTTGTTGGGGGAGGAGAAACAAATGAAGTGGGATCTGGGTAATTTGGGAAGAAAAAAAAATGTGAAGATTATTTCAAATTAGAATTTATCATTTTTACTATTTTTTCTCTCTTTTCTGGCTCCCAAACATTCATGTCTTTATTTATTATTCACGTTCTGAGTGCATAATACAGTTTGAGTATACCTATTACACTTTAAGCCTGCAAAGATTAAAACAGAGACAAAAAAACATCCTCTGCCCATCCCGCCCTAAATTAACTTGTACGGGAGACAAGGAAGTACAAATGGACAATGGCGAGGCAATGGCATCACTCACGCAGGGAGATATGCTACTCAAGCAGCCTGAGGGGCCATGACCCAAAACATGCTTGTGGGGGAGAGGAGCTCCTGAGGGGTAAGTACTGCGCATCCTCTTTTTGGAGGCCAGAATTTACTAGATTTCAATCCTAACCTCCTGTCCCTCATTAAAATAAATAAATAAATAAAGTTTTTCTGCTCCCTCTAAAAGAATTTTAGGATTCTACAGCAAGGGGAGAAGGTGTTTACAAGAGGGGATACAATAACGTCTTACTTCTCCACAAGTGAAGCCTTACAAGACTTCAGGCAAAAATAATCCCATCTTCCTGCTTCCTGAGGAACTTGAGTAATCTAGAAGGCTGAAGGAAGGGAAACAGATGTGTCCAGTGGCTCCCACAGACCAGGGCTCTTGAACGCGCCTACAGCTGAGCTACCTCAGGTTGGATGGCCCTCTCTGCTGATGGCTATTAGTATATGAATTCCCCAGTTGCTCAATAATGTGCCTTGGACCAAATAAGTCAGGATTATTTTTCTTATTATTAT